CGCCTCACATGTGGCCGTCTGTATGACCGTGCGCGCATACTGGTAAGTCTCAGAGGTGTTGGGCGCGCCGCTGTACTCCCCATAGTTGCCCAGCTCCTGCGCAGGGGGCGAACCCCCCCAAAGAAAACTTAGAATCGTCCAGGCTAACGGCAGGGGGCGCCGCCGCAGGTGCCCGCGCCGGCTGCATGCATGCAGCTCTTGGCGGGGGCCCCGCCCACCCCTTCCGAACCCGGACCTGACAAGCGCTCACAAGAGCAGCGGGTGCCGCCGCGGCAAACAGCCGGCTGCGCTCGAACCAACGGCTCCAGCAAGTCTATGCAGCGCCCCCTTCTCCCACCACATGCACACACCTGCGCGAACCCGAGGTCCCCCACTGTGTCCGCGTATATAACGGACGCGCCGCCGCCCGCCACCATCAGCCACACGCGGCCCTTGGGATTGAGCACTGTGAACTTGAGGCTCGCGCCTGCGGGGCGGCCGGGCGGGTGCGGCGCAGGGTGCAGGGCGGAGGTTGCCGGTGACGAGCGGGCTGACGTGCTGGCTTCTGGCTGATTGCAGCCGCGAGGCAAGCGCCGCGGCCAAGAATTCACTGGGAGCGACGCTGTGAAGGGCAGGGCGACGAGCGCCTGGCAGCTGCCAGGGTCTGTCCGCAGTATCGGGCCCAGCCACGCGGCGAGAGCCCGCCCCGCAACCCCCGCTTGCTTCGCCAACGCACCCGTGGCCTCGTCGAGCGACGTCACAAACTGCTCCGCGGCGGTGAGCGTGCGGCCGAAGGGCAGCGGGAACTCCACGTCACCCCACTTTGACGAGTTCCTGGGTAAGAAGAAGGGTGTGCATGTGGTTGTAGGTGTGTTTGTGCAAACTGTGTGTGTGTGTGTATGTGTGTATGTGTGTGTGTGTGTGTGTGTGTGTGTGTGTGTGTGTGTGTGTGTGCGCGCGCGCACCCGCGCCCGCTTGCAAGCAGGCCCCTGCCATGTAATGTGGATGCCCCTGGACACAGCTTAAACGGTGGCCATCTCAGAGGGCCAAGAGGGCTATGGGAGCTGCCTGGCCAACCACCACAGACAGACCTGCGCCCCAGAGGCAGCCACGCGGGACGGCCACTGGACAGCCGCCCCACTCCCGTCATCGCCCACACCCACCTGAATGCGGCCGTGTCATCCAGCTCCATGCGGATGTCCAGGGGGAATGGCTGGCCTGGGGGGTGTTGGGCGGTTGCAATACATGGGTTTGCATTTGTGGTATGGGCGGTGGGGGGC